ATCATTGCGAAGCTTCGCCGCCATGTTTTTCAGCAGTTTCCCATAACGTACATATTGTGGGCGTAAGAGGTCCCATGCATTATTTGGCCGTGAATATTTTTATTCAGGCGATGTGGTGTCCAAAGATGTTCCGAAATCTTTCCGTAATTTATTACAAAGTGGAGACGGAACATCCGCGAAGAAATTAGATGAAGATTTAGATATTCTCTGGGCGTCAAAAGGTGGAAATGTAGATCTGTCAAAGTGGTCAAAAGATGATTTCAGCACTGGTTTGATTCCTAATTACATCGATTGCAAATCATATTTTGCCGGCAAGCTGGCGGCGACCAAAAATTTTGGTTTGTGTTTCACTGCGAAGGAAAAATTTTATTGACACTTTTTGGCGACCACATTTTTCCATATGGTGACTGAAAAAAAATTTCAGTTGCCAGTTGGCGCCTGCCGAAAAAAGTTAATTTCATACCTTGTTAGATGCAGCGTGTTGCAAAGTTTGTATATATCTGTATTTATTTTTCCTATATCATTTTAAACCATCTTACATTAAGTTGTTTTTCTGTAAATAGTGTACGATAATAAAAACTGAAAAAACTGAAAAACTGAGTTTAAAACAAGTTATGGGGGAGGTTCAGAGCCACTTTAAAACTAAGGTGGCCCTTAACCCCCTCCACAGAATTTGTCAAACTTCTGCAGCAAGTCACATCTTAGCATGCTTATCTCAATTTGACGATAAAAGACCCCAAACACAATTGTTACATGGGCTAATGGAGATAACAAGCTTTTCAATGATTCCGCCAGGGAGCAACTAGACAATCTCTGGTTACTCTGCAGTGGGTCATCAATCAATAAGCACTGTATACCTACACGTAACTGTGATGAATTTATAAATGGTTTTTTCATGATTAAGTCATAAGTGGCACCTTGGCGAAGTGTTACAGTTCCAGCCAGGTGAGCTGAACTTGGCAGGTTGAGGTCAGCAATTTGAATCCTGGTATGAGACATTTTGCCCTTCAAAATTTAGGGGTGAAAAGCCGCCCTCAAAGGGGTTGATGGATCGAATTATACACTCACCTCTGTTGTGTATCAAAAAGTCATTAATTTGGGAGCACTTACAGTGTATTCAATTCCAAACATGCAAGAGCAGTTCATCGCTTTGGTAGCCATTTTGTTCACAAGGGTCAGGCGAATGCCCCCTCTCTTGCAAAATACCCTGGTCAATGGACTTACCACTGAAAAATAGTGCATGACGCATTGACTGACAGAGCAAGTGAATTATTTCTTCCCGACTAACTGCTATAAGTCATTGTAGCTGCACTATCACTTGTTAAAAAGGATGACCTGATGTCTATACCAATGACTGGGTGTTTGTTTGAAACCATTATTGTAGGATTATTTGATAAAGAGTAGCAGTATTGATCTACCAAAGTATAAGTGATATAAAAACCTGGAAAACTGTTGTCAGCCACCCTAACATACTTATTTTGGCCTGTTCATCTAGCTAATAGACAGTGTGCCTGTATGTAACAAATAATAATAATATTATTATTCTTTTTAACCTTAAGGTTAAGGAGATTGAGAAAAGAGATTCTGTTCTGACAGGACCCCAGCAGATAGAGAGGTTAACAAGGCCTGGATCAACATACTTCAATCTAAATCCTTATGAGGTTAATATTTTAGTTTATTTTTTCCTAAGAGGGCACGGTAACGAATCCTGCAATCTGCTTGGTTCTTAGCGCAGTCCGGATTTTCCTATCTCTGACCACGGTCACGGTAATTGCGGGAAACAGCGTTGGTGAAATTGTCTTGTTGGTCAATTTTCGTGAGTGTACTAGTGGTAATGGTCAACCTTTGCCATTTTTACACTTCCATCGACAATAAATATTAATCAACGCAAGTTTATCTCTATTCACTTTTAAATGGCAAGGAAAGTCACTGTAAGTAAATTCAATTGAGTATTTTGAAGTTGTGAGAGTTTGTTTGGCTGTTTGTAGCTTGGCGCTGCAATAGCGTGTAATCCTGTGTCTTCTGTGTTTCTCTTGCCACACAATTTTAAGCAAAACAGAAGTCAGTTTACCTCTCCGATCGTTGCTGTATTTAAGAGAATTTCTGTGGAATACACTTAACGGATTTCCTCGCTTTCTGCCATTCAATTTATGGTAGAAAAGTCTGATTTCGAGTGAGTTGCAACAACTGATTAGTGATAGGAATTGTTCTTGTCGTGCAACTTCAAACTTTGCATGAAATTTCACACCGGAAAAACAATTTTGGAGAATTTAACTGGTGAACTAGATGCAACTAATATAAAGTACATCGAAATACACCTGTTCTTTAACCCTTTACCCCCTAAGGCGAACGGCAGTTTTTCCCAAATCAGCAAATAAAGACACTCTGCCTGTGTACAATATGCCATTTGAAAACCACTAATCAGCTTATCTAGTATCTGAGTTATTTGTTTGTTTGCTCGTTAGCTTTTTTACAATGGTTTGTAGACGGTACATAAGCCAGTTCACCAACAAAGTTGCGTAAACAAACCCACCTCAGGCTTGAAAATGCTGCCCGAGGCCACAGTTTTTCACTATATGGACCGACCCTAAGCTGGCAAATAATGTATATAGCATTTAAGGTCTACTCCTAGGGTCCAGAGGATGGAGACCTGTGAGGATAATAATATCCTCACACACTGATATCAAAGAGCTAATAATATTAATATCTGTGTAGACCCTTGGGGCACATTCCATTTATCCAAAAAATAGAGAAAAGTTCAAAATGGGGACAAATGGTATGGAAATTGCCAGGGAAAGTTTCAGAATAATCTGGAAATTGTTGAATTTCTGAAAAGCAAACCATTCAACTGACAACTACAGAAATTCCTGGAGGAAAATCAAATGGAACGGAAATCCCTAGTAAAAAATTTACAAAAATTTGGATATGCCTCACGACGTTGTCCTCTTTTTCAGAAATTCAGGAAAATGCTCTTCCCTCTGTCACTGGATATTTCCAGAAATTCAAACCACAATTTTTATCAAATGTAAAGTGCTCCAAGTTTGTTCTGTTGGAAATCCACAAGCCTGATAATAAGTTCTCTCGTCCTTGTCTATTTACTGATAGAGCATGTTCATGCACACATTTCCTTGATAGAGTCTTGAAAGAGGAAAGAATATTTTTTTCTATTCAACTTCAAATTCATTTAATTTCAATCTAAAAATATATTGTCTTCTGACTACCACCCTTAATATTATTCTTTGAGTTTTAGTTTGTTTTAATTATCAAGTTATTGACTGTACTAACTCACAACACTACATTCACAGCATTTCTTCTTAACTCAAAAATTTTCAAGCCTGCCTGCTACCTTTTATATGTCTTTCAGGTTCTTCAACTTTCTACTGATGCCAAAGAGGATGAAATAAAAAAGCAATACCGAAAGGTAGTTACAAGCCTAGGCACTTCAAAATTAAATGTTGTACATATAGTACCAGATTTATGTCAACCCTGAATACTTGTAAAACAACTGACACTGCTACTGATATCAACCCTGAATACTTGTAAGACAACTGACACTGCTATTGATATCAACCCTGAATACTTGTCAGACAACTGACACTGCTATTGATATCAACCCTGAATACATGCAAGACAACTGACACTGCTATTGATATCAACCCTGAATACTTGTAAGACAACTGACACTGCTATTGATATCAACCCTGAATACTTGTAAGACAACAGTGACACTGCTATTGATATCAACCCTGAATACTTGTAAGACAACTGACATTGCTATTGATATCAACCCTGAATACTTGTAAGACTACTGACACTGCTATTGATATCAACCCTGAATACCTGTGAGATAACTGACACTGCTCAGAGTGACTGCTATTGATATCAACCCTGAATACTTGCAAGACAACTGACACTGCTATTGATATCAACCCTGAATACTTGTAACACAACTGACACTGCTATTGATACTGTATCAACCCTGAATACTTGTACGACAACTGACACTGCTATTGATATCAACCCTGAATACTTGTAAGACAACTGACACTGCTATTGATACGGTATCAACCCTGAATACTTGTAAGACAACTGACACTGCTATTGATATCAACCCTGAATACTTGTAAGACAGCTGACACTGCTATTGATATCAACCCTCCATAAAGTAAAAGCCTTTGTGTAAGAAGCTAGGGGTTTAAGAACCTGCTGGTAGAAATTTGTCAACATTTTAAAACCCTAAAATAAAAAGACCTGTTTGGCTAAGCAAGATCAAGCAGGTTCTCACATGTAGGTTACAGTTAAATAATGAACCCAAGTTATATAGGAAATGCCGCATAATAATTGTGCTCTAATCCTATTTGTTTGTTATGCAGCTTTCATTTCTTGTCCATCCTGACAAGAACCTGGATGATTCTGAAAGAGCTCAAAAAGCATTTGAAGGTGAGCCAACAATGTTGGGTTTAGCTGGCCAATTTTTGTCACTGTTCTGAGCAATCATCCTTGCTGTGTATAATTCCTTACATCATTAGCACATGCACCAGTGTGTGCGCATACAGACCAGTAATAACAATAATTAAAATATTTAAACAGGGTGCTCACTTCACTATAAGATGCTTTTCAGTGGGGCACTGCAATAGTATGTTGTATCATGATTTAAACATAGGTTAAAAGTTTTGCTTTCAATTGAGATAGTTTTATTTGAATGCTGCAAAAAAAAACATGTCTTAAAGAAATGCTACAGTATTTACGCAATCGTAATCTTCTTAGTTTCCTTTTCAAATTATAACCCGGTATTTGTTGTCAGACCAAAGCCTGTTTTGTGGAACAGCTCAGATATTTGATGTAAAAACTGACTTTTTCAGATCAAAAGTTTGCATGCAGCAAAAGACTAGAATCTATTAAAAGCAGTGTTATTGTAACCCACTGACCAACCATCAGGTAAACAGGTCATCTGATTGGCTACACCAGGTAGATATTTGTGAAATAGTTATTAGTTATTAGACAGCTAGAAATCTCAAGCTTTCTTTCTAATTGTTTAACATGTCTCAGTTGTTCTGTGAAATTTTGGTCAACTAGCCTCATTTTTGTTATGGAAAATACTTTCACTCCTGATGCCGAGTCTCGAAAAAAGAAGAATACTGTTTGCAAAATTTCAATTGAGTTGTTTGTTTACAGTTCAATACCAGAACACATGACATTGGATACAAAGAGCATTTTGATCAAGAGATGGGAATATATGATAGATAGTAATGAATTAATAAAGAAACCATTGGAAGGCTGCGTCCTAGACCCTATACAAGGCAAGTCAACATTAATCACAACAACTCACAACTGTTACTGAACAGCAGCTCTAGATAGTGGTCAGATGGGATTATAAAACCTAGTTTCAATTCCATTGCCTGACAAGTCGTCGAGACAAGTCGCTGACATGCTGGCCAAGTGGCCTCTATCTGTGTCGTCTTTCTTGATTCATTTGATGTTTTATTTCAGCTGTCAGTAATGCCCACAAGCTGCTTCTAGATGAGGACAAAGTTAAAAAGGTTAAGGAAATTCTAGAAGAAGCACGAGCAATGGTCAAAGCAAATGTAAGTTTTCCATTGATTCACTTCACTGAGTAACATAGAAACTCTCCTTTGCATATTTAATTTTGTTGTACATTTTTAATAAATGAAGAAGAGAAGATGCAGATGTATTACTAACACCAAAAAGTGACCAGGTACCAGATGATAATTATATTATTGGAACTTCATACATGTGGAAAACAAGCTTGTAAAAATGTGACCTATTGACTCTTGATCAAACGTTAGGTAGCTTCATCTTGTTTCATTTTCCATTGTATTTAAAGAAATGAATAATTCCTTTGCTCACCCTTGGAGAACAGTTCTTGAACAACATAGTATATGATGTGGTTTTGTTGGTGCAAAAATTGTCTGGTTCTTTCATATTACCTATGTCAGCTCAAAGAAAAGAAAAAGCAGGCAAAGAAAGAGGGGAAAGACAAAATTGAAGAAGAAGAAGACCCAGATAAGGTAGAGCTCGAAGCAAATTTATAACGCCCTCCAGGATCATGTTCATTTGTTTCCAACTGTTTAATTAAGTGAAGTCAAGTGAAAGTTAGGTACGATAACTTGATTGAAGGCAATCCACAACAAGGGAAGGTGTTGCCTATGTCGCGAAGCGTTGGGAAATGTCAATTCGTGCTTTACCAGTTAGTGTTTTGCAGTGTTAAAACAAAACCCGTATTATTTCTTCAAGTAACAGGAACCTACTATAGGAAACTTTGATTCAAATTGATATCATTTTCGACTGAAGCATATTATAAGAAAGGTTTCTTCAAATTTAAATTGCAAACTCGACCAGCGCACTAAGATACTGTTACAGCAGACTAATGTAACTAATGTAGCAGTGCGTCATGAAGTAGAAACAGTTTAGGTATCTGACAAGCTTTCCTGCCGACCACTAACAACACGATCTAGACATGAAGAGCCCACCCATATGGCAGCAGCATAGATTTAACAAGATTTAAACAGGAATGAAGAATTGTATCATGTTTTAAGAACTGTTTTTTTACCAATTTCTGTGTATTTACTTCGTAAAAGAGCTCATTCGTATCAACTTATATAACGTTTTTTGCTCCCTGAAAGTAACAACCCCGCGAAAGTAACTTGTAATATTTCGATATATAATTCTATATCATCTTCAGACTGAGGTGATATATAGGTAGCAGAAATTTAAATACCGCAAGATGGTACATTAGCATTAGCACATGAAAATACAAAACAAACACCATACTATCGAGAGAGTAGGCATACATTCCCTACTGGTTGTTAAACCAGTGTTCAAATATGGCGCTGAACGCTTGGTAAGCTTCTGTATATAGGAATAGATTCCAATTATCGTCACTCTCTGATGTAGAATTATATCGAAATATTACAAGTACCTCAACGATTCCTTGCATTTGTTGCCTGTATTATAGACACAATGCATTTACTCGGTATCACATTTATTCTCTATTTCTTAAAATTATCAGCAGGTAATGGGTTTCAGAAATAATTTAATATACCTTTTCACTCTTGATTGAGCTGCCATTGTATCTCTTGTTATTTTGTTCCCATTGACGTCCCGGTGTTTGGGAGGTCATGGGTTCGATTCCTGTCGGGGACGCAGATTTTGTCTTTGTCCCACACTCGTGTCATGTTGATCAATTCATCTTTCAGTCACGTTTGTTTCCATAGTTAGGAAAATTAGTCCATTCCACGACTGTTAAACTATTTGCTGATTATGAACTCAAGAGAAGAGCACAAGAAGAAAAAGATGCGGAAACAAGGTAAAGGAAATCTCACTTACCTGCTGGCATGCTGCATGTCTGTTCTGGGTTAGCTTCTGAATGGTTCTCTAGTTGTGCTTAAGGGTCTTCAGCTTCCCCCTCCGCCACACCCCCAACAGTTCTTCGCTGGGTGTTTTGGGGTCCTCCTCTATTTCTGGTGTCCAATAGAGTCACCGTCGTGATGTTGTCGGGTCCTCTTCTAAGCGCGTGACAGATACATCTCTATTGCCTTCTCATGAGAGTGCTTTCCATGCTTTCTTAATGACACTGAGCGAGTAGTTCCTCATTTGAAATGGTGTTTGACCAGACTAATCCTTCAATTTTAACTCTTTCTCGGCGTAGTTCTCAATTAATTTCAAACAACGGTTTGCAATCATTTAGATAACAGATAGACAGACAGACTTTCTCAGTTACACAGTAAATAAAAAGGTACATAAATAGAATAATTCAAAAAAGAGCTGGAGATTAGGCCAAAGACTGGATCAACTATCACCTCACATTAATGTAATTGATTTAACAGAATTCTAATTTTTTTTTCAAATCATTATTTTCAATTAATTTCTTACATTTCAAGTGGTATTAAATTTAACCCCTCAACGAGATCGTGAGCAGACCGAATTGTCATATTATAGCTGCCACTTGTGTGCATAACTTTGCTCAACAATAATAATTTTGAGTTGCGTAATGGTGAATGTTCTTCTTTTAGCCTTCTTAGGAACTGAAATATCCAGTCCGATAGTTCCACTAATTAATCATATTGCAGCAATTGCATTAGATATTACTTGTAGAATTCCACTTATAGCGAATAGTAAGTGTAGTTGCCATAGAAACGAGAGCGAGTAGGATAGGAATGCTTGTCAAAGCAAGAACATTTTGTGATAGGATTAATGAACATTATTCATGCAAGGTTTGGCTGTCGGCAAATGTAGCCAATCCACTCCCAGTTTTCATTGTTTTGACGAAATAAAGCAAACTTGACTTAGAGCAACTACACTTTCAAAAAGACAAGGTGTTTCCACGTGTGCATTTTATCTTTTTTGCAGAAAACGGATGCGTGAGCAAGAGATAGCTGACGAAGAAGCAGCAAAAAAGAAGAAAGAATGGGAAAAAGAGTGGGAGGTCAGTAGCTTAGGAAACAACAACAACAACAACAACTTTATTTGTACTCAGCTAGAAATTAAACGCAACACAACAAGTACCTTGGAAATGCAAAGTTGGACAAAAGACCCCGAGGATCTTTTATAAAAAGAACGGGACGTATTAAAATCCAATGTTAGAGAAATTCCGTGCGGATACTCCCATTTGAAAAGGTGGGGATTGCTCGACGGAGTATAAATCAAGGATTCTGATCTCACTTACGGTGCTCATGACGAAACGCCACATTCTTTAGCTGTCAAAGTATCTTTTAATGTGCACTAGAAGAAATAATAATGAAAATCGCTCTTATTTCCGTTTTTAGGTTCGATTTCCGCCGGTCTCTCGAGTCCGGTTTACTAGCACAGGGTCCTTTCCTGGACAGCGGGTCAAATGAAGCTTGATCCAGCCCCAGATTGATCTCCTTAAGGGGCTTTATTCAAATTTTCCGACGAGCATGATCGACTTTTTCATATTCCCCCCCCCGTGGAAGAAATCGTTTCCACGAAAGCACTCCCCCCATCACCTTCTGTTGGAATGCTTGTTGCCAGACAACCTTTCTCAATACAGTTTTGTAATCTTTCATTGGACTGACAAAACATTCGCCTCAAGACGTTTGGCTCTAACTCACTGTTTTTTGGTTTTTTTTTCTTTTCAAAAGGAGAGTCGAACAAATCGCGTGGATAGCTGGAGAACGTTTCAAGCTGGAGGGAAAAAGAAAAAAGAAAAGAAAGGTCGCACTGCGTTCAAACCACCCGCTCTTAGGCCAGAGAAACGCTGAGCCAGTGAGCGTGACACAAACTGTCATTCATTTAAAGTACTGGAAGGTCGCTCATAATGCGTGTGTTTGGAAATGTTTGTGTGCGTGTGGAAAAGCAAAGTGCCGACATGACTCCTCTGTGAATTGTAAATATTACCGTTATTTTATATCCTCGAAACAAGTTTCCAAGCTTATTAAAGTGCAACGTGATGTATCGCTCTGTTTGTTTGTGTCGTCCCCGGGGGGGAGGGGGAACTCCCAAATAAAGGTGACGGGAAAGATCGATGGAAATCTCGAAAGAGCTAGATGCAGTCTCATTCTGTGGGACTGGCGCTTGAGGTACCAAACTTCACATTCTCTTCCCTAGACTGTTCACAACCCTCCATTTTCTGGTATTTTTATTCGATCGTTGAACACGGCTACACTATTCTTCGTTTGGCTCGCTTCGCTCGCCTTCCAATCCGCACCCGCGTGTGCTTCGCGCTCACTTCGCTCGGCTTTTTCTTTCGCGTGCGTAGAAAAATAGCGTGGCTCTGAATAGTCTTTCTCTTCCCAGTGACTTGTCACTTTTCAGAACAAGTTCCAGATCACTTCTAATGGTAGACGTTTGAGATTTTAATTCTAAGAGATATGCGCGAGTTGCATGTAATTCATACTTCCTTTGCACTATTCCGATTGTTTCTTTGTAAAGCGTCGGAAGATCTCGGAAATATTTCGGAAATATTCACATGGTTTTCGGGCCCTGTTCGGACGATCTTGTGCGGAGATCTTCGGGAATCCCGCGCCGTTTATTGTACACGGTTTATTTAATTCCGGGCACTGCTAAATTCACCAACTCCCAACTTTCGCTGTTTTAACAAAGTAAGCTTCATGCCGCATGATCGAAGGAAGCTAAGCTTTATCTGCACGGCAAAATGGGCATGGATTTGGTCAGCATCTATGTAGCCTGCGTAGCAGGCGTATAAAGGGGAGGAAGTGGAGGAGGAGGAAGAGAATTCGGGAAAGAGAATTTCCCCTCCCTCCCCCCACCCCACTCCTCTGTTTTTTTTTCCCGAATTCTCTTCCTCAGGACCTATGGGGCATGCAAAGCGCAACACCACAATACCGCGAAACAGGAAGCTCGATCGTTGACTGTGGTGTTCTCTCTGATTTCATCAAGGCTTGGTCACTCAGCTCTTGGATTTGACTTTAAAACATGACCACTGAAAACATGTTCCGAGACATATTTTTTCCCTGTATTTCATATTATCGGAGGTGAAGAATGCTCAACTCTTAGCTGTTGTACAGTTTTAACATCGCAGCCTTAAAAAATCTAAATCTGACGTTTAATTCAGGATTGAAAGTGGTCTTTCTTTGCCTATGGCGAGTTTGTATGGTATGTATGTGAATTGCTAGCTTGTCAAGTACTTCGGGGCACGCACACGAAACTGGAGACGATATAATTTGAACACACGGCAGAGCGAAGGACAAGTGGTCAGGACATGGAGGGACATAATATTTCAACTTTTATCAGGAATCGAGAAGTAAAGGTAAATTAAAGTTTATGTTGTGAATTGCGAACAATACATACACTCTGCTGGAGCACCACAATTTACATTTCTTCATTTGTGGATTGTCTTCTTGTAGTCGTCCATCACGCGAGCGTTTCAGAGAAGATTTCAACTTCATTCGCCGTTTGTCGAAAGACTTGGATTAGAAAGGGAGCTCGAGGTAAAATGAAAACTTTTGGATACTCAGATGCACGATTTAGTATAGTTCTAACTTGTTGTTAATGACTATGTATGCGGCTCTTTCTTGCCAAACTGTAAGCTTACATGTCTTTGAGTGTTTACTTTTGGTCTGTGTGGATCGGTTATGTTGTGGGATTCAATCAACTGTCAAGTGTCCTTCGTTTGATTGTCACGTCTTTCATTACGCGTATACAAGATGCAAAGCAACTGGGGATTTCACGGAAATCTAAATCCAGGCTTTTAGTCTGCATTTACATGTAGCTAATTTCATGCAGACCGCGTCAATGTTCGCCATTTGTCAATGCAAAAATAGTTATTTGGGATAAACAGGAATGTTAAAGAACGTAATTAGCTATATAACACTATTTTGTAAACCCTTTATATAATCCAAAAATCCATCAGGAGATATAAAATTATTCTTTGAAACATACGTGTCAGAAACTATAGTTGTATGTCCGAGATTTTTCAGGAAAAATATTTTAACACTCCCAAAATGCGTTATGGATATTGCTCGCGAGTTCTCAGCTATGCGATATAGAAAGTGGCTATTAAATTTAATTTTAACTTGACCATGCATATAGAACAGCGGAAGCAAGGAAGACTCGAGAATTTTTGTTTATCGTTATTATTTGGAGCTGCAGTAAATTAACCCTTCTTTTGAAAAAGTGCATTGAAACTTTTAAAATGTGCATAATTACATACAGTATAAATTATATGGCGATTTTAATGGTTTAATTAACAATTATTGGATGAGGTTGAGCATGATAGCCTTGAAGGCCGAGGTTTGTGTTAGCTGCAGAAGGCTGGATAACAAAAGCTAAGGCCTTGATAACCGAAGCAAAACTTGATGCCAAATCCTCCATTACAAAATTGCCCAAAGTGCTGGTAAGCCTGTTGGGTGAAGTCGCTTCTGCATGTGACTATTGTCCATAGGTATGACTTCACTTTTGTTTTAAAACTATTGTCTGTAGGTATGATGTTATGAAACAGTACCAGCATCAATTAGCTAGGTGCTTTTAACCAATCAAACTGAAAGTGACACCAATGTATAATAATACATGTAATTAAATTTATCTCTCAATTGTCATGTGATGTCCATTGAGTGCTTGAAAGGCATTTGACCACTTGGAAATTCTGTGTACTATAATGAAGTAGTCCATGGAAAGTCCTAGTCTCTCAGATCCCAGTCAGACAGGGGATAGCAGGACCATAAACTTAGGGGGTGATAAGCCTGTCAGCCAAAGTGAGCTGAGAATCAAAATAGTACCTGTTACACATCATTATGCATTGCACTGCATCATGACCAAACCAACAACCACCACATATTGCAGCTACTCTGATCAGTCTTCTTCAGCTGGAAAATCTCTGGGGATTAATTGCTTTGTCAGTCTTAGAAGTGGTCAGTGCACCAATAATCTTCTCTTGACGATACTCCATCTCACCCATCTTTGAGGGTACTGGAGCTGTTTCTTGAGGCCATTCTGATTCGGGTAGTTAGAGAAACTCTGGTCCGTTACACCATCTCTTGCTTAAATCTTGCACAGCTATCCCATGGGAAACATCATCTGCTACAATGAATTCTCCTGGAACACTGACTTGGATTGGAGTTACTCTGTATCTCACCAACTCTTGTGTATACAAATGGTTTAAAGCTTCCAGATGTACTTTGAATCCATGTTAACACAATCTGGAAAGAACATGACATTCTTGAATTTAATTCTTGACTCCTCTTGAATGATCTTTGCTTGGCAAGATGCAAGTACGGCAGCTTGGAGCTCTAGGCATGGGATGGTTAACTGTTTCAGTGGTGACACTCTAGACTTGGCTGTTATGAGCTTGACCTCATACATGTCATACCTTCCTCTTTGTCAGATATTAGGCGCAGGCTCTGAAGGCTTATTGTGAAGTGTCAGAAAACATGCACAGTGTTGCTTGCTCAGTGGCGCCAATTGTTAACAGGCCTCTCAGGAAAGACACATGATCGAGTTCCAATATTTCTTGGAACAGTCTCGTCCACTGATCTCGAATTGTGGGCAGAAGCTCCTCATCCCAGCCAATTCCTAATTGCCACAGGTGTTGAATACCAATCTTTGCTCTGATCAGGAATGCAGAGGCGAGCCCGATAGGATCGTAGACACAAGTGACTTAATACTCATTATTATATAAACACCAGTGAAATACCAGGATTTTTCCTTTTACCAAAAAATCATATCTTCATTGTGTGCAGTGAAGATACTATGTTTATCTTTTACACTGTGAAGATATCATTCCTTTTTGATAACATTTTTCTTTTGTCCCTTTAACTACACTTAAATTTGTTGATGTATGATTGAAACATCTTCGGATCTTTTTCGGTCGTCTTCGGCAATCTTCAGTAATCTTCGGGAAATGTTTGGAAATGTTTGGAAAATGTTCAGAAGCGTCTGTCTGGCCTTCAGAACAATTTTGGAAAATCTTCGGAAATCTTCGGAAAGTGGTCAGAAAGCTTCGGAAAATCATTGAAAACGTTGTCATTAGTATGTTCATTTATTATATCGTTGTGTCTCACAAGGACTGGGAACTACCGAATTCACGAATTTGATTGGCTGAAATCGATATTGACTGCGGTCTAGATTTTCCCATCTAGACCGCCACCTAGACCGGTTTCATTTTGCATTGAAAAAGTAGCAAACTAAAATAAAAATGTTTACTATTTTCTTTTATTTTCTTTTCAATCATTTATGGAAGTGCCAAAAAGCCTGATGACAAAAAAAAAAAGTAAAGATAACAAGCAAATTTCGGCAGGTTTAAGTTAAGTTCATCGCCCTTTGGAGGCAAAATGTCAGCAAACCAGTTACATTAAAGTTTTTTTCTTTGCCATAAAATAAACATCTTATTAGCCGAGCTAAGTCAATCTGTATGGGAGAATCTTGACCTCGGTCTTGTGTACAGACCTCACTGCGTTTGGTCTGTACTCACGGCCTTGGTCAAGATTCTCCCATACAGACCTCCAGCTCGGTTAATAAGAGCTAAATAATAAACAGAACATTACATGCCTGCTTGTGGATATGAATTTTATCTTCTCTTGTTCAAGTCAATATCTCACTCATTCGCTGCGCTCATTCATGAGATATTGAGTTTAACACTCAAAGATAACATTCGTATCCACGCGTAGACATGTGATATCCTCTATGTATCACCTGCTTGGTCAACATAACTTGGCCTTGATCTGTAAGCTCTAGGGTTTAAAATGAGTCTGCGTTGACTTTAAAAAGAAGTTCATCAGTCCTGGGATTCCATACAACCCCTAGAACCTTGTCGTCGTCTTCTCCTTCAAACACTTCTGTAACATCTGAAATCTTCTGCCTATCGGTGTTTATTAGATCCTTGTTTGAAATCCAACCTTTGAAACTGAATCCACCTTCCTTCAACACACTATCAATATCTTTACTGAGCCTTTGTGCTTCTTCAACAGTGTCCACAGAGTCACAAATGTCATCCATGTAGAAGTTATTAGTGAGGACCTTTGCCATGTCAGGATTTGTAGCTTGACTTTCTCGCACTGTTTTGCGAAGAGCAATTTGTGCCTTTGCTGGGGATGGCTTTTCACCAAAAGTTAAAACTGTTTTAACATACATGTATGGTTCTCAGCTGGTGCCTAAATTCCTCCACAGGAAAGTGTGAACGTGTTGATCATGCGGGGTATCAAAATGCGGTGATACATCTTGGAACTATCACCCAGTAAGGCCACTTTCTTCTCTCTAATATGCAGAACAACTCCGAAGAGACTGTTTAGCATGTCTGGGCCTTTCAACCAATAGTCATTAAGCCAATGACTTTGAAACATAGACAATGAGTTAAACACTATCTGGACAGGTGTTCGTTTCTTCTCAGGCCTGACGACCACATGGTGAGGTATGTAATGAACTGGGCCTTGATAACTTCAACTTCCTGCTTTGTCAACTTTCTGCAAAATTTCATTTCTTGCATCTCTTTCATCTGGGCATCATAGGCCTTTGCATGGTCTGGGCTGGATTTAAGCAGAGGTTCTGTTGATACTAATCACTTCAGTGCCAGTGAGTTGTTGTCAGGAAGAAAGTTAAGATTTTTTTTCCATGGATACGGTATCATCCACTGTTTACCGACTTTTTTGCATGACTTTTCATTGACTTGCAGCTCTTCCATTTCAATTTGAGTAAGTTTGTCAGCTTGGCATATGCACGGCTTAACAGCAACGTCCATCTTTTAAATTATTTAACTTACTTACAAATTATAATCATTATGATAATAATGTTACTATGGTTTGGATCAGGGTTCGTATGGGTTTGAAAAAATAAGCAATTTAATCACTTTGCTTGACTGTGTTAATAATTGTAAAATCATTTTTTTTCCACCAGGGTCACTCTGGCTGTGTCAATTGTTTGGAATGGAATGAAAATGGAAAGTTAGTGTTACTTCATTTTATCGTTTGACATAGCAAGTAATTGGTTCTACTTATTCTTATATCTTTTGGTATCCTTTTGCCACCAAATAAAATACTTCAATCTGTGCAAGGAATGCACCAAGTGACAAATAATGTATTGATCCTCACCTGCTTTTAAACAGACTGCTTTTGTGTTTGGTTATATCTAGATATGCCTGAAAGTTCAGATAAACCTTTTAAAATTGCATCCATACTAAGGGTGGCAAATGGTAAATGCATGTTTTTCTTTGTGAGGCCAAGGTATTTTGATTTTTTTTTAAAAAATTGCAAGACTGAGGCTATCTGGAACTGGAAATTCAATATTTCACGATGTTTTGATATCGTAGAACATGTTATTTTTTTTCCTAGTGCCAAAATGATGTGGGGGTATGTTTTGTGGAATTCAGACAATTTAGGATTAAGCTTTTCTCTGAAATTTTAAAGTTTCATTATTAAAATTCAATATATCAAGGGACTTCTTTATCCTTGCAAAAAATAGAGACCTAGATACAGCCTTGTAAAAGAAGACACTGCAAGAAGCCCATATTCACTAAAAAAACAAGACTGTGAGATATTAATTATTAGTATCACCCAACTAGTGGACTAATACAAATCCTGCATTTTGATTGGCTACGCTACCAGGGGACTATCAGTAATAGTNTTTTCTTTTCCCCTGAGAGTTCAAAACAGAATTTTAACTATTTTCTGTATTTTCTTAAGCTTGGTTTTCTTGACAACCTACTATGCCAAACAAAATCATTGCACGGTCACACTATACCCACTATCGGAAACAATTTTTCTTTTTCTGTGAGAGTTTGAGATAGTGAGAATCCCTTTTTTATGATTCAACATGTTCTTTTTTCATAGCCTCCTTGTGTCTGGGTCAGATGATCTTAATGCAATATTGTGGGATCCACTCCAATGTCAGAAAAAGTGTTGCATCAAAACAGGACACTCTGGAAACATCTTCTCTGTCAAGGTATCACATTTAGCATTGTGAATATCAATTCAAGTAATGGAGCTAGAGCTATGCCATAGCCTGTGTTAAGGACTGGTACTAGGGTTAGGGTTACCAACATGGCAGCGGTTATTAATATGTATTTTTCTTTTCATTTATTGATGTTTGCCACACCAAAAAGATTAGTTAGTTACGATTTAAACTAAATCATGGTGAGAAACTACCGGTAGTGGTGAAGCTGAAAGAAACTGCAAAGCTTATGACTGTGTGATTCCTTCTTCCCAGTTAATGTAGACAAACGTAAGATACATGTAGATACAACATACATACTAAATCAGTTCATTTACATGATGTATTTAGTAGGTGAGTAATAATAAGAGTGACAGTTAGAGAGTAATTCAGCAAGAAAATTTCGCTTGGGTGCCAAAATGGCCTTTGAAACCTGTTTAGGGTCCAGATGTTTTAGAACAGGAAGTGGTGAGACTTTTTAGCATTCTGACTTCCTTTTATCAACAATGAGACACCTTTGGAAGTCTTGGGACTGAAGTCACTCCACTCACATCCTCCATATTAACAACAAAATAACAATAGCCACAAATATTTTAACAGGATGGCCAATCAGTGTATTAAACACGGATCTGCTAAATCTGTGAGCCAGCGAGCCATGCAAGCCACGGTGCGGGCCATGCAAGCCATGCCAACCATTTTTGCGAGTACTTTTTTTTTCTTTGATCGGTCTGGGAGGTCGTCGATCATTTCACCAAGAAACATCTAGCGCCCGACTGTCACTAAATTAAACTACCGCTATAAACCGCCCGCTCGCCATCTTGAAAGCAGAGATGACCCTGGGGACAAGTATAAACAGTACAACCTCGCTCCTAGGGTACTCTCTCTTTCCCTGGGAAATTAATTTTAAATTTATCTACAAAAGTGCCTAAAATTGAAATATTCCCAGAAAAAGTCCTAATCTCGCTTCGGTTGCCAGAACTATTGTTAGTGCGTCAAATATGAAAAATGCTCTAAACATCTGTACATCGTGCCAAGTCTTGCGTCATAGTANTGTAGAGGCTGGTGACGTCCATTGAGACAAGAATGGTGTTCTTAGGCAGTTTAGTCTTCTCGATGAAGTTAAGAAAGTCTGCTGTATCTTTAAGATACGAGGCTTGTCTTTGTGCTATCGGCTGAAGAAGGTGGTCAGCAAAAGATGAGATCCTTTCTGTAGGGCCGTCACACCCTGATATAAAAGGTCTACCAACAGGTGTCGGTTTGTGAATCTTTGTAAGTGTGTAAAACACTGGTATTCGCGGAGGGTCGGGCATAAGGGAGAGCCATTTGGCCGTCATTTCGTCCATGTGGCCTTCTTGAAGTAGTGATCGAATCAATCGATGAACTTTTTTGCCCGTGGTGTCAACCATAGGTTTGTCGAAGGATCGGTATGTATATCATCAAGTTGGACTTGACCCTCGTTGAATTTATCTGTTCTGTTCATTATGACAGTTGTGGTACCCTTATCGGCTTTCCATGCATTGTGAGGCATTTGTAGCTATTTGATTTTTTTAGCTTGGCTTCTGATTGGGCGATTCAAAAAACGTCTTGGTGACGGTTTGTGTAGTCGCTGCAAGAATTTAATACATGTATTGCTATCTTATTCATCTCGTCCCGTTGCTCTTGTTCTTGTTCTGATTGGCTAATTCAAAAAACGCCCCTAGTGACGGTTTGTGTAGTCACTGCAAGAATTTAATATTGTGATCTTATTCATCTTGTTCCGTTGCTCTTGCTCTTGTTCTCATGCGAATATAAATGTAACATAAAAATTCTTAACATTTGCACTGTGGCTCGCATGACTCGCCTGACTCACATGGCTCGCATGGCTCGCATGGCTCACCCCTTGGCTCGCAGGTTTATAAAACTCATTAAACACTGTTATCAGAGGGGTTCTGTAAAATAAACTATAGTGAAAATAAGGTAAAAATGGGTGAAAAAAGGCGTTCAAAATTAGTAAAAATGTTCACTTAAGCTTTTGCTTAATATAAATCTTGAAGTTATGGATCTAAATTCAATTGGTAGTTCATTACAAATCTTGGCTCCTTGATAGTGAAAGTTCTTCTTCCCAAATTCAAGGTGAACTTTAGGTAGTTCACTGATAAACCATGATTGTTCCTCGTATTGACTCAGTGCAGCTGTGTTTCAAGACATGACGTTCTTTGTAGCACCAGCAAACTCAAATCAGGAACAAAAACACTATTGAGATAGAGCTCTCAATGTTAACTTCATCTTGATAGACAGGAACTTTAGTTTTACTGAGTGTAGTAATGATGGCTAAATTCACTACATCTCTCACTACTTTGCCCTGATATCAAGATGAAGTTCAACTTGTCAAGGTGGAAGAGAAATGATTATTTATTCAAGAAGTGATTTAATTTAATAGCAATGTTAAATCTTATTCTTGGATCACTTAGAGGATTGATAGCATGCAATATCAAAATCTTTTGTGAAAACAGTCTTACTCTTACTCACTGTCTCAATATTCATGCAAGTTTTGAACTGACCATAAAGAGTTTTCTGCTGTTAAAGTTGAAATGCTTCTACAGTAGTTGTGTTCCTTGATACGCACATTATCATGTTGAAGCTGAAGGAGGTCAAATCAACTTGCTATATGTCGGATCTTCCCTTCAACATCTTCTTGAGAGGTCAAAGGATTTGACCTCATAAATTGAGGACATATAAAATGGAATGGCCAATTTCCCTCTGAGATGTGCCTGCAGGGAATCTTGGCATGTATTCTTGGACTGGATGTTTGTTTTGATGAATATAACTACCATGATTCCCTGAAGGTGCATCTCATTGAGAGAATTGGCCATTGCTCTGTGGGGGATAATATTTTGAAATACAGAGAATGTTAATTGCGTTCATGAAGTGTAGCACAATCCTAATCCAGTCTGTATAGAGAGTTTTTGGAACGGATTTGTTTGCTGACTTGGGCTCGTCATCAAGATTGAACATTTTGTAGCTTGAGGCAAATGGCCAAGAACTGTGGTCAGAAAACAAATATTTCGGGTTGTGTAGCTTGGCAAATGGCCAGGATATGTGGTTAGAAAATGAAATTTTCCCAGTTGTAGCTCGGACTAGCTTAGCAAGTGACCATGATTTGTTGTCAGAAAACAAACTTATAATTTATTCATCGCTTGTTCAACTTCATAATAATAATAATAATAATAATAATAATAATAATAATAATAATAATAATAATAATAATAATCTTTAGTGAGGGAATCCAAATCGCCAAAGGCGGTTTTCAGTGGAGCCCTCCTAAATAAAAATCACCTAAAAATGACATAAATAAGAATTACCTAATAAATTAGCTATCATTCGATCAAAGTTTGTTGACCTAATATGCGAAGTACATGCGTGAACGCACTGCTCTAATCTTTGATTACTACTTGTATTGAAATTGTACATTAACATGTTTTTGTATTATTTGCTAAATCAGAAATCTATATGAGATTGTGATGAAACTGAAAACTAAAATGACTAATAGTTTTTCTTGGCTGAGTTATTAACCATTTAAAACATGAAATTTCACTGGTTTGGCTTTTCTTTTCACCATGTTTCTGCCATTTTTGACCTAAGTTAACTCAATGTAATGTATAAAGAACTTCTTTATTTTTATGTGAAGTTTCTACAAATTATGTAGGTTGGGTTTTTTCCCTTAAGACAAGCTTAGTAGAAAAACTTTTGAACCGAAATAAAATGAAAAATTATTGATTAACAAATGGAGGCAGCATAATGGTTACTTCCCAACTTCCACCACCTGTTCAAGACTAATCAATGTTTTTTGATTAGCCTCTAGCATTTAAAATAAACTTTACCAACTTATTGTTATGAATTCAAAATTAACCATCCTACCCACATTTTTCATAGTTTTTGCCACAGATTGGAGACAGAATCATTGCAACAGCTGCTGCGGATGCTAAAGTTCAGATCCATACAGTAGAAACACAGGAGACATCGCAAGTATATAAATGTCATATTGGGCGTGTGAAAAGACTTGCTACAGCTCCGGACACTCCATACATGCTGTGGAGTGCGTCTGAGGATGGAACTATAAGGTAAGGAGAAAGGCAAGTGCACCATCCATGTTCCTTGGTATCCTGGGTATGGCTTGGGTGATGGGGCTTGTTGTGATGGACCAGTGAATGTGGCACAAATGACTGTTATTCCTTCCTTGTGCATCTACTTTACCGAACAAAATTAAGGAATATTTGGTGCCTTATTCTTGTAGCAAACAGTTTGTTTTTAATAATAGTTATTAATAATTTTATATTGATTCAACTAAAGTGTAATTTCTTATTTCTCACAGGCAATTTGATCTACGACAACCACATACTTGCAACACAAGCAGTAAAAACTGTAAGAATGTTCTTATAAACCTAAATATTTATGTTGGTGCCATGGCAGAGGCAAAGTGTCTTGCAATAAATCCTCTACAGCCTGAACTTCTTGCAGTTGGGTGCAATGACCCTTTTGTACGACTGTATGATCACAGAATGTTAGCATCACATAGTTTCTCAGAGGTGAAGAAGCCTTTTAGCAACAGTAGCAACAGTCCTGAAGATGCAAAACTACCTCCTGGATGTGTTCAGTACTTTGCTCCAGGCCATTTGCCACCACAGTTAAGCAAAAATTCACGGAGGCGATTTCGAGCTTATGTTGCTACCTATGTAAACTTCTCCCCTAGTGGACAAGAGCTGATTGCGAATTTAGGTGGTGAACAAATATACCTGTTTGATATTAAACAGCGTCGAAAAGTAATGAAGTACCAGGGAGTAAATGGGTTTACTTCATCACTTACTTCAAATGGTGTGGTCAAAAGTGTTGTAGATAATTGTGGTTTTTCTGCAAGTAAAAATGGTTTTTCATCATCTGCTAATGGAGCTACAAATGGTTACAAAATCTCAAATTTAAATGGGAAGAGAACTGTCACAGACAAAACACCTTCCAAGTCCATCTGTAGCAGCAATCATTCAAGTAACATCTCTCAGGAGTTGCCACCCAAAGCTCTTGAACTTAAGGCTAAAGGAAATGATGCCTTTTGCCAACAACAGTTTTGGACAGCTGTCAACCTTTATAATGAAGCGATATCTCATGCCTCTGATTCTGCTGTCCTGTATGCCAACAGAGCTGCTGCATTTATCAAGAGGGCATGGTATGTAACAATGCTGATGTGTCTCTTGTGGATGTATTCCCTCCTAGCATAGTGATACTTTAATTAAAAGTAATTGAAACAAAAATCTCAGATAGGAAATCAAGCAATTTCAGTTTTTAGCAGACAAAAACCTTTTACCAGTCAAGAATAATTTATAAAGATAGCTGCCTTAAATAACACCCAAAACAGCAACCTATGGTAACTTCAGAAAAAAAAGATAATTTTCAAAGTTTAGAGAAATATTATTGTGCAAAAACACAGGTAGAATTTCATGATCAGTTCCACCAGCACTTTCAAGTGTTTCATATGAACTTAAAAATTGGTTTTGACATTTAGAAGTGATTTCTTTTGAGATGATATTTAAAACAGTCTTACTGAAGTTTGCAATACAATTTAAGTACTAATCTTTTTGTCCACTTGTTACTTGAGCTTCTGGTGGATTCCTTCTTAAATGTGTGTTAAACTTTTTGTCTCTCCAGGTAGACAATTTTAGCACAGTATACAGAGTACTGTGTGACCCCAATTTCCTATATAGACACACACATCCTGGGATCAGGGTTTTTTTGGGAGGGGGAGGTGGGGAATCTATGTTATAGGGGAAGGGTTGCTCATCTCATTTAGGGGTGTAAATTGCAGATTACATGGATATGTTGGATATTCTTGCATTTTGATTGGTTGATACTCATGATTAATTGGAGGACAGATATTTAGATGACATCATTACAATTTTTTTGTTTCTGTATTATATATAAAAAGTAAATTTCATGTTGTAATGCATCTGTTCAGTAATATTTATTGATTGTAGATGACTTCAAAATGTGAATTTCTTGACAGGGATGGGGACATCTATGCAGCACTGCGGGACTGTCACAGGGCACTTCATCTGGATCCTAATCACACCAAGGCACATTTTCGGCAGGCTCGCTGTTTGTATGAACTGCACTGGTTCCAGGAGGCTCTTTCCTGTCTAAACCACTTCAAGTTAAAATTTCCAGAACAAGCTGAGGGAAGTGCAGCAAAGACTCTAGAGAGAGACATCAGAGCAGCTGCATTTGCTGAGACTGAAGGTCGGTAGCACCTCCTGTGGGCAGGGGACACTTGACCCATGTTTGGGTATAGAAGTATCCCTAGGGTCACCCTGACCTTTGAAACCCTGACCCTGTTTAGGACCCTGTTTAAATACCTATCCTGTTAGAGTTCATATAAGAGAGTGCCCAGCACCTTTGTTATCTTAGGCTTCCAACCTCTCAGGCAAGGAGGGTGGATGTTGTGCAACTTTGATCATGGTTTAAGCAAGCATTTGAAATGTGGACATCCAAACTTTCTCTTGGTCTAGGGTGCCACCCTCCTAGAAGTGGGGGGGGGGGGATATTTGTAGTCATAATTTGCTAAAGAGTATACTACATCAGAGATGATAACAGTCATTGAAACTTAAGCTGAGCTATCAAGCTAAGTGGGGTCTTCTCAATTTCCAAGCAGCTCATAAAATGCCCAAAGATAGAAGACAAGCAAGAGATAATATGTAGCATCATTTACCTGGAATGTGAAGAAAAGATTTTGTACATTGCAGATCATTGCTGTTATGAAGTTCACATATATTTCATAATTATAATCCCTCAATTGTCTTCATGTACTCTTCACTTGCAGACAATGATGACGAGGAGACAAGTGGTCACACAGATGCTGTTTCTAGTCGACGCAGGAGACGTCTTAGCATTGTGTCTGATCAAGAGAAAGCCTTCCGTGCTGAAGCGCTTGATTATGAGCAGCGGTTCTGTGGACACTGTAACACTACTACTGACATAAAAGAAGCAAATTTCTTTGGTAGCAATGGACAGTATATTGTGGCAGGCAGTGATGATGGTTCATTTTTTATGTGGGACAAGGAAACAACAAATCTTGTACGAGTATTAAAAGGAGATGATTCTATTGTAAACTGCTTGCAGCCACATCCAAGTACTTGTCTTTTGGCCACAAGTGGAATTGACCCTGTGATCAGGCTTTGGAGTCCATGTCCACAGGAAGGGGAAACACAGGACAGGCATATAGACGAAGTGGAAGCTGCAGCCAAGGCAAATCAACGAAGAATGAATGCTGACCCTTTAGAGGTGATGCTAATGAATATGGGATACAGATCAAGATTCACCATGGCAGAAGGCAGTGATGAAGATGATACCGAAACTCCGATACAATGTCGCACTAGTTAGACAATAAATTATGATGCACTTTTGGTGTGTAACTTACAACTCGCTTCCAGGTGACAGATGATGTTTTAGTTACCTTGAGCAAAATATTTTGGTAATTAATGTCTAATGTACGCTGCACTAAATGTTTGTTAAATGAAAATTATGGTGAAGTTTTGAGATGTAAAATCATTGTTGGTATGAATGAGAGTGCCCTGAATTTTACTGTCTAGTTTATTGATAATTTAGAGTTTAAAGTAACTTCCAATAGATGGTCAATTGTTCATTTGTGTTCTTTGATGGACTTTAACCCTCAAACATGCACCATTCATGTCAGTTCTTCTTTTTTCTTTTTGCAACAAATTAATACAATACTGTCTAAGAATGAAGGATCTGATAAGCTAAGGAGGAAGGTGTTCATTTAAAACTAGATTCTCTTAGAGAAAATTCAAGATGAAATGAAAATAACTAACTAAAGGTGAATTTTGCTTCTGATTATCTTAGAATTCAAAGGTTATTGAGCAAACATATGATTATTCTACAGATGAAGTTAGATGGTTCGCAGTAAAATGATGTTTACTTTATGCACATTTATCAGCAAGAAATGTCAAATCATTGCTGCTGTACCTGTTAACTTGCATAAGGAAAGTATTTTTGTGGGGAAAATAAGCAGTAATATCAAAATAATATCAAGGGTTATGCTGCATGACTGAGTGCAAGGTTCTATACATTGCAGTGAAAATCGTCCAGATGCCAAAGAGGATTTGATTCGTGGCTCAAGAAATAGAAAGAGGATTGGGAAATTAAAATAATACTATGGCAATATTACTTAAATTCTGTTTTGTTAGTTAAAGATAAATTTTTTTCCTTGACTTATTCAAACTAGTTTGAATTTGTAGATTGTCTTAAAGAGAACAAATTCTCAATATATTTGAAAGGACGTGTTAGGAGTCACACTTAAACCTTAGCATCCATGCCATGAATGTCAATCAATACCGCTAGTCCCCAGGTGGTTGACAGATGTAAGTGTGACACTCCAGAACCCGAGCACTTTGGTTGAAAATACTGTTTAAAAAATATCACTTGCAAAGTTGGGCACAGAGTAGTATTTGACATTTCTAAAAGTAATGGGTTAAGTCAGCATGAAGCATTCAATAATCACTCCTCTATTGATTACAATTTAGCAGACTTGTTCCCAGGAAAATGCACTTTGCTCTTTAAGGCATTGTAGAATATAATAATTATTAGTGTTTTTCTTAGCCTTACTAAAAACACATAATGTACCATTCTAGGTTTTTTTAAATAGTTTAAATTATTGGACAGAAGTTTACCTGTTTGGTTTTAAGCAGCAAAAGTAACAATTTTAAGTTATGGGTAATTGATAACTGATAAGTGAACTCGTAAGTATTGTTCAAATACAAACGCCTATTGTTAAGAAAGAATGTTTAAGAATCATCTTAACTAAGGAGAGCTTCGTAAATTTAGCCCCTGGTTGACAAGATGTACTGTTTGAGGTTGAGATGCTCTTAACATTACCAACAAGGAACAGATGTGAGATGCTGACCAAAATAATCTATACTGGTGTTTTAGCATTTATTACATTTCTAGGATTGCTTCACTTCCAATGACACATTTAACTCTAAAAAGTGTAATGTTATTCGGATGTTGTGTCTTGTCCGCAGTGGAATGAATACATTAAAAGGAGACAACACTGTCTGTGCTGCTCTGAAATTAACAATACAGGGTTAACCTATCTGCTGCATTTTGTAAGCAATTTTAAATAAATAAAAGAAAAGGACAGGCAAAGTTTAATTTTACAGCTTCAATGCAAATGCAATATAGAGTATCACACACTCGTCATTTTTCTCTAACACAGCCCTTAAGATTGACTCTTTGAGTGATTAACAAACTTTTATCACTTTGTTTATCACAGTATGCAAACGTTGAGGTAAGAATGCTCTCTGTAACCTGATGGGCACAAGTATTCTCCTGTGATCAAGGGTCCTATTTTTATGGCGGGGAAAACTGATTTCAAAACATACCAACTCCCTTTATATTCCCAATTAGGTTCCAATAGACCATTTTACAGTTGTCTGCTCAGTGACCTGGCCTTTGGATGGCAGCGAGGCTGGAGTTGACCTTGTTTTGATACAGACCTCACTGCTTT